TAAACAAAAAAACTTTTAACTTCTGTGGCTGTGGAAATGTAAAAAGCAAGTATTATCCGTATTCCTCCTCTTTCTCCTGGGACTATCACTAGTGTCCCCTTTGCTCCTCCGAGTCTGTCATTCCTGTGGGCTATTCGGGCCACTAAAGGACAGCAGGCCGACCAGAATGCCATTCTCTGCCCCCTCCTGAGAGCCAGTGGTGACAAGCCCGTGCTCTGTTCCACACTTGCAACATCCAGGTGGAGTTTAAAATAGAATGGATGGGGACCCAGCTATTTAAAAAGTCACCTCTGGTCTTCTGTTCTATCACAGGAGTTAAGACCAGCTGGGGTGCTTCTGGTATCAGTTTCCAGTACATAAGTCTCTGTGATCTGCAGCAGAAATTCTTACAACAGGGCCCTTAGAAGTCTCGTCCTCTGATGGGCTGCCAGAGGCAGAGTCCAAGGCATATCTGTGCAGGCAGACTTTTGCTGAGTTTCCCAGGGACTGAGAGAAAACTACCAGAAGAAACAGGCTCCTCTGGGTTCAACAACTAGTAATCTACAACTGTCTAGATTGGAAGGTGGGATTTATTGCTAGCCAGCTACTTATCTGGTTCTGTTGGCTCAGCTGGTCAGATATGACCAAGGTCACAGATTCAGTCCCACAAGAGAGCTCCTTTGAGTGAAAGGAATATGCTTAAATATGGCTCTTCCCTTCCTAAATCCCCTTCCCAGAATATAGGTCAAAACATGTCACCCCCTGCTGAGAAAACAAGTTTCCCCTTGTGGGATCAAGAAACTACAGATGCTTCAGCAATCTACCCAAACCTGAAGTTGCATGGTGATTTTCTCAACATCATTCATTAAATTTCTGGGCAATGAGCTTAAATCATGAGATGATATAACCTTAGCTTCCATTTATTGAACATATAAATATAAATACCGGAAACTTAGAATGCTTCTTTAACACAGTGAGCATCAGATATTATGTTGATCAGTTCATATTTTGTCCTCATCCAAATTATAAAACTAAAGATAATAAATACAAAATGAAGCTCCTTCTTGCTGCTAAAGAAATAAACAATTTGAAATGTACAGTTGTATATATGTCTGGATTTGACCCATCTTTTACGTCATTTCTCAACTCTAAGTAAAGAGCACGATCCCCATTAATGACAGTACAGATGAACTACTTTATATTATTAGATATAAATTAGATCACCAAAGAGTTCTCAACTTTTGTATTTTAGGGTGAATAAAATATCTGTAACCTCTTCTATTATCTAAATAAATTTCATACCATCTGACAAAATTATAATATATTTCATTTTATTTTATTTATTTTAGTTTTGAGACAGAGTCTCAAGCTGTTGTCTTGGGTAGAGTGCCATGGCATCATCATAGCTCACAGCAACCTCCAACTCTTTGGCTCAAGTTATTCTCTTGCCTCAGTTTTCCTTTTTTCACTAGGGATGGGGTCTCACTCTTGTTCAGGCTGCTCTCAAACTCACAAACTCAGAAGCTCATACAACTCTACCTGCCTCGGCCTCCCAGAGTGCTTGGATTACAGGCATGAGCCACCATGGGCCTTTGATTATAATGTATTTTAAAATTCAACCATTTAAAAAGATTCTTGGAATTAAAATAAATTCATTTGGATTGAAATCCAAAAGCAAAAGTGAAGCTAAAGATAGAAGTTGGGGGCAAAAAACAAACAAACAAAAAAAAAACCTCTAGCCGGTGCCATCCTGGGGTAGACATTTCCCAGGTAAACCAGCCCCTATCAATGGCTGGGGCTTCCTTCACCTGCAATTCTCCAGCAAATTGGGTTCCCCACTCCTCTCCTTTTTCCCTCCCATGGAACTACATGCAGCACCCTCCTGCCTCCAGCCCCATGGCAACTCCAGTAAGAGGTTCAGTTCTGAAAGAGAGGTTTTAATAATTTTACAGCTGAGAAACTGAGGCTGAAAGTTGAAATGATTTGCACACCTGCTGACTGGAAATCCAGTCGGCCAACCAGACTCAGTGCTCTTCCACCACTTTTCCCAGCCCACAAAAACCATAGACAGCAAAGAGAGGGAAAATGGAAGGGCCCCCATGCAGATGGCCACCAGCCTCAGAGAGTCCCACTGTGTAGGGACCTTCTTGGGGACCTACCTATTATGGATTTTCCTTTATCTTCAGAGAACAAAGCAGCTATTTTAATGGAAATATCTGTGAACTGTGAAAAGGGACCATGCAACGCAAAGGAAAAATTTAGACCCTAAAGCCCAGTGATCTGGCATTTCATCAGGAAAAACAAAATATGGAGAGAGAGACAGAGAGAAAAAGAGAGAGAGTAAGGGAGAACTGGGGACATATAGCAGACTCTCAGGACATGGAAGTTCACAATTCCTGACACCAAATAACCATTCAAAATGTCTGTTCATTGAATGAAAAACCTACTTCTTCATCTGTGTCACCTTCTAGAAACACCTCTCCTATGCTCCAGAGGAGAAAGGCATCTAAGGCCCTAGAACATGCAAAAGAGATACGGGATCCCACAGGCCCTGAAATTGTGCCTTTTAGTTGGAAATGTTTGTCACTTCTTAGACTCTAAGAAGGGAATATTTTCCGTGCTCCTCCAAAGGCCTAGAGAGTACTGGATCCCTGCAGTGATAACGCAGATAACATCCAGTGACGGCTGCCCTGTCTGATCTCGGAGACTGGGGTAAGTAATCTTCCTGTGTGTGCTCATGGCCCCCTCTACTTCCTGAATTTAGCATACTCTGTTGCAATTGCCTGCTTACTTGTGTGTCTTGTGAAGTAAACTCTAGACTTTACAATCATTTGATTCTGTACTATCCCTTCTTTTTAATCCATAATAGAGGGCCAATTTATATTCATAAATAAAAAGAATCAAACAACCTCCTATAAAACATCTACCACTGCTGGCCCTAAAATCAGCCTAAACTACTGATGTTCTCCACCCACCACCTACTCTAAGATCTCTCCCCATCTTCCAATTTCCCTTAAAGGAACTTCCCTAATTCCATCATTTAGGGAAAAAGTAACTTCCAGTTTCCCTTAAAGTAACTTCCCTAATTCCATCCTGCTCAAGATGTTCCTTGTCAGGTTAACTCACTCAGTAAAGTGTGTTCAAAGACAGGATCTTGTGTAGTGGGCCCACGGGTGGGGTATCACAATAAATAAGCTCACAGAATGAAGTGAGCTCACAGAATGAAGTGAGCTTGTATGAAGGCTTGATTTTCCGAAAGGGTACTAGGCATTAGCCAAAATATTTCTGGATCAGTAACTATACCCTATCATCAACTTGACTCTCCAAAGATTACAATGTGGCTTTAGAACCTGGTACACAGTGTACACTCAATAAATATTTGTTGGATAAACGAGTATATGGGATAGGATAGGAATTTCAGTGGGCTTTTATTGCTCTCAGCTGATACAGGAGGTTGGCAGCATTATGAAATCCTTTATTTGAGTAAGTCTAGATTTGGACACCCACTGAGCTGATCCCCATATGTCCACCCTGAGAATTCATTAACATTTCAGAAATCCTCTGGGGACAGGTGATGCTTCTCAGAAACTTGTCTCGTGTCTAACTAGGTGAGGCAGAGCTTTCTAATACCACAATGAGCCTGTTCCTTCAGAGTTTTCCCTGAGGTCTTCCATCCTACAAAACACTGGTTAACAGACCTTCTAAAACTACTAGCCACTAGCTATTTCCAATTTCTCAACTATCTTTGGTCCAGAAGAGCACCCCGAAAGGATCTGTAGTCTCGGTTACTGATCATCTCAAATTCTCTTGTTTTAGACTTGTTTGCATGGCTGATTTGTACACTTGAGGGAAGGGATCTTGTTATAAATTTTCACGGGGTTGGCACACAGGAGGTGTTTGATAAATAGGTTTTTTGTTTATTTGTTTGGCTTTGTTGGGCCGTCTTCGGTGCGTAGTCTTTCCCAAGGTCTCTGTGACAGCCAAATGTGCGTCTGAAGAAAAAGGGTCAGGACACAGCCCTCATCTGTGCTACGGCTTCCCAGACAGTTCTCACTCACTTTCTTGGGCCCTGTCTTCTGCTAAGGACTGCAGAAAATAAGGCAGGCAGGGAAAGGGAATCACAGAACACAATTTAAATATGGTAGTTTAGACTCTAGGCCCGAATCTTCCCTTCCGCTAAAAATAAATGCATACATAAATGACGACGCTCATAAGCATGAGTGCACTTCACCCAGAGTCTCCTGACAGACCTCAAGCAGGTGCTCGGGAGGTCAACTTGGTTAGTACCAACTCTGACTGAATAGAATTTATTCTCCTGTGAGGTGCAGGAGAGGAAAGGAAGAGGGGCAGGGAGATTTTCCAGCCACTCCACCCTGAGGCTAATCCAGATGCGGCTGCGGCGGGTGGAACCCAAACGTCTTCCCCTCAAACCCCCGCTTTCACCTAAGGTTGCAAAGACAGAAGCGCCCGCAGTCTTCGGGTTGAGTCAACCGCACAACCACCCACCCTAAAGGGACCGTGACAGGAGGAAAGGTCACGACACACCGGGGTCTAGACCCGCAGTCCCGAAGGCGCGGGCCGGGCGCCCCTCGCGGAGCCGGGTCTCAGCCAATGGGAGCCTGAGGTGCCGGGATGATGAGGTGCGGGGCTGCAGCTGGGCCAATCAGGCGCCCGGCGCGGCCGGGGGGAGGAGATGGGAGGAGAGGCCGAGGGCGATGGAGACACCGAGACATCAACAGAAGTTTCCCACCTAGGAATGCGAGGGACGCTCCCGCCTCGCAGGCACACCTCTGACTCTGCGCCGGAGGAGGGCCCCAAGCTCCTTTCTCCACCTCTCCTACTGCTCCCCGCAAACCCGGGGGGAAGCTGCTGAGAGTCCCTATCACTGCCGGCCTACTTTTTATGTTGCATGCAAAGGGAAAGAGGGCGAGAGACAACTTGGTGCTGGGCCACTGACCTCCGGCCCGGCCGGCCTCTGGGGAGGAAAGGGCAAAAGAGGAGCGGCTGCGGCTGGGCGACTCCATGCAGGGGTCATGGACAGAGCGGCGCTCCTAGGACTGGCCCGCCTGTGCGCGCTGTGGGCAGCCCTGCTCGCGCTGTTCCCCTACGGAGCCCAAGGAAACTGGATGTGAGTATAGGGGATTCAGGGCGCATCGGGTATGTGGCAAAAGGGATAGCCCAACCCCAGAAAACTTCTAACTGAAGCTGGGGGGAGGAGAAGGGGGACCCCAAGGCGGGTGACCTAACTTTCGGGAAAACATCTGGAATGGGTGGGGGAGGGCGGAGGAGAGGCTTACGCTAGGGGCGGCCGTGGCTCTCTCACAGGTGGTTGGGCATCGCCTCCTTCGGGGTTCCGGAGAAGCTGGGCTGCGCCAACTTGCCGCTGAACAGCCGCCAGAAGGAGCTGTGCAAGAGGAAACCGTACCTGCTGCCCAGCATCCGAGAAGGCGCGCGGCTGGGCATTCAGGAGTGCAGGAACCAGTTCAGACACGAGAGATGGAACTGCGTGGTCGCCACCTCCACCACCGCCGCCGCGGCCCCATTCGGCACCAGCCCTCTCTTTGGCTACGAGCTGAGCAGCGGTGAGTCCCGGGACCCTCGGGGTGGCGGCGGACGGAAGGCGACAACTCCTCCGTCAGATCCCCAAATGAAGTAAATAAATAGTGCTTACGTGGCCCTGTAGTTCTCTTTATCCCGCAGAAAGAGCTTTAGTTTACACGAACTGGGAGCGACCGAGGCCAGACCTGGGGTGCAGGTGCGGGCCGGAGGGAAGGACTCCCCAGGTCCACAGCTGGGCTCTTGGGGCTGGAACTCTTCTTCCTTCCGGTGGCGCCCCTCTTGAGTTAGAGGAGAACTCTGACTCTCCTACCCCGCCGACCCCCTCGGACCCGTAGCGCCCCCCTACGTGGGTGACCAGCTGGAGAAACATGATGTCTGCAGCGGGGAATGCGGCCGCTGCATCTGCTTTGATTTAACCAGCTCCGCAGCGCACCGAGCCCTGGACAAGCGGCTAATTACCGCGAAGCCCACACTTGTTGGCTCCGCCTAGCCCTGGGTTGACGGAAAAATGACGATTTGAAAGCCACAGTCCCCGACACCCCAGCGTGCAAACCTGAACTTTGGCGCTCTCCGCGGCTCTCCGGTCTTTCTCTCTAACCTCCTCCGCGCGCTCCCGCCGCCGGGGAAGCGGCGCTAACGCGAAGTTCCACGTCCACGTGCGAGGTCACTGGGGAAGGATAAAAGAACAGGGAGCCAGGACTGTTCCAGGACTATCAGCAGATTCAAAGAACTTTAGGGCCAGGGCGCTGAGGATGCTTCGTAGTTTTTCATGTTCATTTCCGTTCTCCCTCCACCTTTGACCCTTCTCCACGGGGTCCGGCAAACACCACCAGCCAAAGCATCCCATTTCTCCCGCTGCGTTTTGGCCAACACACCCTTACAAAGGAGCCCTGATCCCTTGTAGAGGAAAAAAGAAAGAAAGAAAGAAAGAAAGAAAGATGCATTCTTTACAGTTGCCGAAATGCAGAGGCATCAGCTGTTGAAAAGGTTTATTGGACAACGGGCGGGAAACAGTTTCTACTCCAACCTAAACATCTGGAAAGAAAAAGAAGTCGCCTGCTGAGTTCCTTCTAGTCTATTTTATCAATGTTTTAATGGAACTTCAATTTTCAAAGATTTTAGCTCAAGCTGTACTGCAGATGTGCTAAATACATCTTTTTCAATATTCAGTACTTTTTCATGACGATTCTCTTTTTTCAGCTAGTGACATTTCAATTATCTTGCCTTTCATTTAGGAGTAAGAGGATTAACTAGTACTATCTAAACTGTTTAACTACTTCATATTATTAGTTTTTATTGTGAAGGTAGACTGTACCATTTAATCTGATTGCTTTTGTCTTAATTTTAATTTTCATTCTGACATGTATTATTGACATAAACGAAAGTCACACTAAATTTTCAGCTGGTGTTTTGTGAGAACACATTTTAAATTTAAAAAGAAAAGAAAGTAATCTAGTCTCCTTAGGCGTTGTATTATTCACAAGACAGTATCCTTGGGAAGAATTTTAAATTCAACATGCATTGTTGAGCTACTACTTTCTATTAAGTACCAAACTAGGTGCTGACATACATTTCAAATTTTTCAAATAAACACATGATTTTGAAGTATGAGGACAATGTGTAACACACAATATATAACAATCCTCTTAAGTGGGATACTGAAAATTAATGTTGCTTTCTAAAAGACTAAAATAACAGGAAATCTTCCTTACTAAATATGTACTCATTGCAAACAATTCAAAAATGGCTTATCTGGTAAGATGATGAGTAGGAGGCTTTGTTCTGAACACAAAGAGTGATATGGCTGTCTAATTTAGTAATTTATATTTTTTCCAGGCACCAAGGAGACAGCATTTATTTATGCTGTGATGGCTGCAGGCCTGGTGCATTCTGTGACCAGGTCATGCAGCGCAGGCAACATGACGGAGTGTTCCTGCGACACCACACTGCAGAATGGCGGCTCGGCGAGTGAAGGCTGGCATTGGGGAGGCTGCTCTGACGATGTCCAGTATGGCATGTGGTTCAGCAGAAAGTTCCTAGATTTTCCCATCAGAAACACCACGGGAAAAGAAAACAAAGTACTGCTAGCAATGAACCTCCATAACAACGAAGCTGGAAGGCAGGTATGTGTTAGAGAATGAATAATAAAAATCCAGCACCTTGGAGGGCGCAGTGGGTCACGCCTATAACCCTAGCACTCTGGGAGGCTGAGGTGGGTAGATTGCTTGACCTCCTGCATTCAAAACCAGCCTGAGCAACAGGGAGACGCCCATCTCTACTAAAAATAGTAAAACTAGCCAGGCTTTGTGGCGGGCGCCTATACTCTCAGCTACTTAGGAAGGCTGAGGCAAGAGGATCTCTTGAGCCCAAAGTTTGAGGTTGCTGTAAGCTATAAGGCCAAGACACTCTACTTGGATGACAGTGACAGAGACTCTGTCTCAAAAAAAAAAAAAAAAAAAAAAAAATCCAGTGCCTTTGAGTAAATAACGCTAGGATTACACTTCTAGATAAATCTGTCCAAAAAGTTGAAAAGTAAAACAGTGGCAGCCTTCCCGTGGGATACCAAATATTAATGTTGCTTGTTCCAAGACTGGAGGAATAGGGAATCTTCCTTTCCAAACATGTGCTCATTAAAGCATCCTTTGTAAGCAATTGACAAATTGCTTGTCTGGTAAAAGGATCAAGGAAGGCTTTTTCAGAACAAATACACATGTGCATGTGTGTCTGTATCCATATTTGCCTATGTCTGTGTGTTCATATTTGTATAAATACACATAATATGCATATATTCCCTCACGTGTATAATACTAACCACATGGCTTACTTTAGGTTCTCCATCTTATGTGAGTTTAATCTTGTTATTGAATATGTGCGTGGTTGTATGCCTTTTATACCTAAAACATTAATTATAAAATAATAGGTGTACAAATGCTTGTTGAGTCACTTGGTTCCACCCTCTTAGCTGGCTAGTGGCAGAGTCAGAACAAGATCTACAGTAACTGTGTTTCTGATGCAAAGGAATCCAATTTAATTTCCCCAAATTTGATTCTATTTTTTAGATTTTTTTAAACTGGAAATGGCTCCAAAACATATTGTCAGTTTTATCCTTATTTTCCCAAGCAAATATTCTTAGTAAATATATAACCTTTAACTGATATTTTCTTGTTAGGCAAATTTTTTCTTAAGGCAAATAGTATTATGTCTTAAAGCAAAGTAAGTCCATTTTTTAAATTCTTAAAATACAGGAAAGCGTAAAAAAGTTATAAATATATGATAAATACATGGATATTGTAAAATATATATTAAAAATTGAAGGAGACAAATTTAATAAATCACCACCTAATTAACCTCTTTTATAAATTATGATTTTCTTACATTAAATTTTCTTAAAATGGAGTATACTTGCAGCTTAAACTTTTATGTATTTACATTAATGAATATATTGACACAGTAAAGTTTGAGTTCTGCAACATAGTTGACTTAGTTGGCAGTTCGTCGTGACTTTCCTAAAGGAAGTGAAAAAAAATTAAATATATATTTTCTACATTGTAATTAATTTTTCAGGACAGGAATATCAGCACATGCATATTATTGTAAATTTCTAATGACCTATACAGGTCCCAAAGTAATCATTGCAATCTGCCACATTCTTCTAAAATAAATTAAAACAAGTTGTAGTACCTCTTAGGAATATTGAAACTTACTATATGCTACATTTGTTTCACATTTTTGGAAAGTGAATAAATGAAATCCATTTAGCATAGTTTCAAGTTTCAGCCAGTTTTCTTTACTCAACCACCGTGATTTAAAACATTAAACAAGAAAACTCAGTAAATATATCACCATAACACTTCAGACTCAAATTTGAGCTTCCAATTCAAAATAGAAAATAGAGAAGTCAATAGATAGCGAGGCATGCTTCTTATATTATTTTAGGAACTTTTAAAAGTTATTTTATCTAACTAAAATAACTCTCACCTAACAATATAGCTACATACATCTCTCTTGCCCCCAAGTTTACATTTAAAAATAGAATTAGATATTGCTTTAATGTAAGGGTCATTCAATAAAGGAATTTTTATTATTTCTAACATAATACAAAAGAGGTTAAATGTAATGAATCTAAGTACTTTAAAATTCTAAAGTTAAACTAGAAAATAACATTAACAAAAGTCAAATTAATCTGTGTATAATTTAAAAACAAGAAAACAATTAAATGAATGTCTGTTATAAACAGAGACTTTAAATCTTCCTTAACCATTCTTTAAGTAATTTAGTAAAGATTTAAAAAATTGTAACTAGACAAAAACTTTAACTAGAAAATCGAAACTCAGAAACATTCATGATGATTAATCCTCTTAAATTCGTCTCTGAACTTATAAAAAGCCCTATAGCGTTCTAAAATGTATTTTTTATTAGTGACATTTGGCAACTATTTAGTTTTATTTCATTGTATATAATTTTCAAATTAGGTACCAATATTTGCCTCTGTTTAACTGTTAATGTTAATCTTAAACTATTATTTATAATATGATTTTATTAAAAACATCTAACTTATCAGCACCAATTTTGACCTTATGGGAAAAAAACAATTCCCTACAATTACCTGTATATTCACCCTATGCATATATATATATATATTGTGTGTGAATTTCAGAGTTTTACAGGATTTTTTCTCCCACATTATTATAGATAAAATCTTGAAATATTACAAAATATTTACCCGGTTATTTTGAAGGTACTATGCTGGTGGTTTTGTTGGTCTTTTCTCACAAGGTACTATAATTCAAAACTTTATTGTATTTTTCTTTCTGTCAGTGGCAAAAAAAAAAACACAACTCAAAAACCCGCCGCCACCACCACCAACAAAAACAACAGGTTTCCAGGTTATTCTCTAACATGAAAGAGGAATCAACTCAATTTTCACTACTGGCAGTTAGGATTTTAATCTAATAGACATATTCTTCTGAGTAAAATCAAGGTCTGTATTCAATTGAGTAAATTTTCTTCGTCTCAGAATCCCAAACTCAAAATGTAGGAAAGTGTTCAGAGAAATGTGGGTGCTGGGGCTTAGTAGTGCTGTGAGCAGGGTAGATGATTTTCTAACCACTGACCTTAAATACTCTGATTCCCACTTGGTTTCTGACACCATTCCTAAAGTTATGACTCCAAGAATAATGTTGCCGAATGGTGATTGGTTGGCAGAATGATGTGATGTCTTCCAGGGGCAGAACTTCTGGGAATAATGTGACTTGGAATATTTATGGGTATTTCTTTTGGTGTGCTTAAAAATATTTCCATTCTTCCCATGTCCACCTCATAAACTTTTACGTTTCTCTACCCCATAATTTGTTTTATGATGAGTAACTCAACAAAGCGGGAAGGGCCCAATCCCAAATTTTCATTGACCTGTTCCAAGAATATTTCTAAGTAGTTGAACAACACATAAGTGTTTTGCTTTTCAACAGGTTCAAATATATTTTTGGACAGAAAGGGACAAAATGGGTCAAAGGAACAGGAATCTTACATACACACCCATCCAACCTCATGTTGCAATTTTTATAAAAACTTAGATCATCTGATGTTTGGCAAAATGAAATGTTAGTCACAAAATATTCCATAACAATTTTTCTGGCCATTTTTATAAAATCTGGATAAAGTAATGTACCGGAAAGCAATCACCACCCACCACATTACCTCTGAGTCAAAATTGTGAGCCCAATCACTTCTCAGGCATTTTTTAAATTTACGTTAAGTATTAATGATGGATCTTTCCTATTACACTGTGTTAGAAATTTATCAAACCAAAACTTGCCCAAGGAGCCCCGTAGATTAACTGCTACCATCCTAATTGCTCTTCCATAGTTTAAAAATATTCCACCAAAATGTGCACATCTGTTTGCAATAGTTAACAAAACATTCCTCTGTTAATATCGTTATAAACCTTAACAACTCAACGAGAGTAGAGAAAGGAATTTTCTCATAACCACACAGCACTCATTCTGCTGCTGTTCTCTTACTTCTCTGTTACTAGAAATTAACGGTGCTATCACTGCCGCTCAGAATGGCAATTTAGCATTAATTAAGAACGCTAGCAGAAAAGCTCCCATATATACTTTTCTCCCAGGGTGTTCCTGTATTCCTCAAATATACTTGCAGTTTCCACTATTATTTTTCTCTGTTCTACTAAAATTATCCTGCTACACACATAAAGCCCTTATATCTTATATCAACTTTCCTTGCGTAAGTCAAATGTCTTAACTACACTTTATCTTTCCATAAAATTGGAATCATTAGTTAAGTACTTGTTCATTAACTGCTTATTAGGTGCAAGAAATGTCTTGTTATAAAACTAAATCAAGTAAAATATTTATTAAAATGTGCTCTGAGAGAGAGGCACTAAGTTCTATAAAGTTAAATGTGCATGTGTGCGCGTGTGTGCATGTGTGTGTGTGCGTGTGTGTGTATATGTGTGTCTGCTCTTGAACTCTGTGCTTCATCAGATTTTCTGGGTGATGATTCTGCTGATTTATTCTAATTCCTATTTGTCCAGTTTATTCCTTTGGAGTACTATAGGAGAATGAGTATTTAAATTGCATGTCAAAGTATTGGTATTCTCCTCCTTGACATTCATTTATCTTTCTATCCTAGAATATATGTATGTAATAGAGGTATAGATATATATGTCTGTGTGTATATATAGTTTTTCCAAAGCAGAAAAATAATATGTAGAATAATAATACGCAAAAAATGCTCACACATTCTAAGAAAGGAAAAAACTGTATTAAATTTGTAATAGTCAAAATATACTGATAACAAAAGATAAACACAAGTCACCTTGACCACCTCTTGTAATTGCAGAAGGCAAATGTGACTTGAGTGTTACAAATTTAAGACAGTTTTTTTCCTTTCTTAAAATGTATTGACATCCTTTCGGCACCCTCTGTATGTCATATATAATGGAAATATTATTTCTTTTCTCATACTTATTGTTAGGTACATGTAATTTAAAGCTAATGAAACTCAAAAATGCCATCACTGAAAAATTATCAATTCCAGGTATTTAAAGGGGCTAGTTCTTTGGATAGGAAAATCTCCCCCAAATTCCAGTGCCAATTCAGCAGGTGATGTAAATGAAGGTGAAAGTCAGGCGCTCTATCCTTCTAACCTGTGAAGCAGTGTGTCAGTTTGTGGGCTAACGCTGTTGTGGACCAGGATAAGTGTAAGGAATTGGAGGGGAGCTTAGTGGGCTCAAAGTGTCATCATGCTGTTGAATTCTCAGCAGTGGTTTTTTTTTTTTTTAAATCACTTTCTCCCATTCCCAACAGAGGATGAGTTAAAACTGTCCAGTCTTGGTGTATTTGGTGAACACCTACTCTGTCCTCCATTCTATGCAAATTGCCAATGCTTATGATACCTGAACTACTTAAGAAAAGAGAAAGTCGATCCTCATTCAGGATCCAGAGGGAGGGGAGGCTTTACATCATCACTATGTGAGATTTTGAATATGTCAATCAGCTTTAAACACATAAACATACATTGGTAGGTTTTTGGCATTCTTTGAACAATTTGTTGTGTTATTATCTAGCACTGATTGAGCTCTTTTAAAATCATATCCATAGGGCATTTAAAATCTGAACAAAGGTAGGCAGATTGGATTAATTTGAACATTGGTTTGCTGGGAGACATTTTAAAGATTGAGGTCTTTATGAATATCAAATGCCATAAATTTAACCAAATAAGCCAATATGACATACTTTATAAATTTTTCTCTTATTATCAAAGGGTATTTTTTGCCCTAAGTTAAGGAAAAACATAGATGCATATATTAGCTTGTCAGTTCTGTGAATTCAAAGCAGAGCATATGTTCATATATTTCTATGAAGGACAGAATTTAAATATTATACTGTTTATTATTTTAAACACTACTATAAAGTATCAAACATTGTACAAATCAACACCATATGCTCGCATTTAAGGTTGCAAATATTAGTGATTGTTTTAAATATACTATCTCATTCGATCACTTAGGAAATATTGTGAATTTGTTTAAAAAATTAACATTCTGTAAATATGTCAGGTTTGTTTACAAAATAGCTACGTATAGACTTCTGTCATTTTATAGTCCTAATAAGAACTGCAAATGGAATTTCAACTGTGAGGTTTTCCCATTTTTTGGTGAGATGACACACATAATTTCCATGTTATTGAATGATGGATCCACTTTTCATTTGACCCAGCATGTTGACAGCAGCACATTAACCTGCAGCCAGCCCCAACGATTTATAAATCTGCTCTGCCATCATCTGGGGATTGAAGGAAGCTATGCTAGCCAACCCGGTATGTAGGAGATTAGAGCCCTAACGCTTTTGAAATCTCAATATTGTTTTTGTACCATTAGCCACACTGGAATTCTTTTTTTTGAGACAGAGTCTCACTCTGTTGCCGTGGATAGAGTGCCATGGCGTCAGCCTAGCTCACAGCAATTTCAAACTTGGGCTCAAGCAATCCTCTTGCCTTAGCCTCTGGAGTCACTGGGACTATGGTGGTTAATTTTTCTACTTCTATAGTAGAGAAGGGGTCTCACTCTGACTCAGACTGGTCTCAAACTCCTGAGCTCAAGCCGTCCTCCTTCTTCAGACTCTAAGAGTGTTAAGATTATGATTGTGAGTGACTGTGTGCAGTCCCCACAGGAAATTTTTAACTGAACTTTTACTTTACCTTTTTTGTGTGGAGAGAAGTGGCATTTATTTTGACTCTAGTGTCTTCTAACAAGTGGGCTATTACTAATAGATGTTTATATAATCTTATTAAATTATTCAGTCTTTTCAAACTGAACTCAGCACTTAGAATTGAAAAATTGCATAAACATTTCCCCTATTTTCTATGCTAGGACAGTGCTACTGATTTACCAGGGATAGGACATATGATATGAATTAAGTTTTCAGAAAAGGGGGTGAGGAATTTGCTCGGAGCAGAAATCTGGGCCTGGGAGGAGGAGTTCAACCTGTGGCCTAAGGGGGTTATGTGAGGACGTTTTTGCTCACCTTGATGGCAGATATCACAAAAATTACACACAGACCCTTTTTTTGCTCATCAGCTTCCTTCGTGTTTATGTATTTAATGTGTGGTCCAAGACAACTCTTCTTCCAAAGTGGTGCAGAGAAGCCAAAACATTGGACCTCCTTGCATGGTAGACCCTTGTCCTTTTGACCAACTAAACTTTCTCATGTGGCCTGTCAATAGGGGATAGAATGCCCCAACATTCTCCCCATTAATGGAACTGACTTTTATTGTGATCCAACCAAAGAACCCTCAATTGAATCAATAGGTCTCATCTATTCATGTGCATTAAAATCATCTGAGCAGTTTGCCTGGACTCCACCTCAACCCACGGAATAAAACATCAGGGATTTAAGCATTAGTCATTTTCAAAGTTCTGCAGATGTTTCTGTGCATTATGAGAGGTGAAGGTAACTGCCTGCAGTGCTCCTTAAATTTTAATGTGCATAAGTCACCTGGAGATCTTGTTAAAATGCAGCTCTTGATTGTGGAGGTCCAGAGTGGAGCCCGAGACTGCATTTCTCAGGAGTGATGCTGGTGTTCCTGATCCGTGAGCCATACTCATGGATTGAGTAACAAGGAATGGGAATGGTATTGGGAACACGCAGGCATGCCTGAGCATCCTCCCACACCCAGAATTAGACAGGGGATCAGAAATGAAAGTGACTTCCCTTCTTAGCTCAGCTAATCTCTGATAACAGTATTAGCCTGGTCTAAGATTTTAAATACAACTTGGAAAGGTTTGCAGTACAGGGTCAAGACATCTGAACAAAACATTTGAGATAAAAACCAAAGGACAAAACATTTGAACCCTAAACAATCTTAAACTTCTTTTATGTTCAAAACCATCATTTGTGTTCAGCAGGAAACAGGCCCAGAGAGTTAAGTGATTAGATTAACTGTGCTTCTGTTGTTGAATGAAACACTTCATGAATGAATGGTATCTGAACACAGTTACTGTTGGTTTCAGGCTGTTGCCAAGTTGATGTCAGTCGACTGTCGCTGCCATGGAGTATCTGGCTCCTGTGCTGTGAAAACATGCTGGAAAACCATGTCTTCTTTTGAAAAGATTGGCCATTTGTTGAAGGATAAATATGAAAACAGTATCCAGATATCAGACAAAATAAAGAGGAAAATGCGCAGGAGAGAAAAAGATCAGAGGAAGATACCGATCCACAAGGATGACCTGCTTTATGTTAATAAGTCTCCCAACTACTGTGTGGAGGACAAGAAACTGGGGATCCCAGGAACACAAGGCAGAGAATGCAACCGTACGTCAGAGGGTGCAGATGGCTGCAATCTCCTCTGCTGTGGCCGAGGCTACAACACCCATGTGGTCAGGCACGTGGAGAGGTGCGAATGTAAGTTTATATGGTGCTGCTATGTTCGTTGCAGAAGGTGTGAAAGCATGACTGATGTCCACACTTGCAAGTAAGTACTCCACCCAGTCTGCAGGATTCCTCAGCATCATACAGTGACAGTGCAACCCAGGGGGTCTCTTTCCGTGTGCAGGGCTAGTAAAGTTGACTCCTTTCTAGGAAACCCCAGGTCCTTGGTCCTCTCTGAAAATGTCCTTTACCCAATCAACACATCCACCATGTGGATGTTGGGGGGTTCTAATAAACTTCAACAGGTTTGTATTCATCTTTTGGTAGTTCAGTATATAATCTGTTTATGAAGCAAGAAAGAAAAGGAAAGAATCCTCATGCCAGGATAACTAGTCCGTACTCAGGGTAAGATCCTGGAATATGGAACTCAGTACTGGAGGGTGAATAATAGTCATTTCAAAGAGACACTTTTTATAGCAACAAAGAGCAGTAAATAAGAATTTCATTTATTCTCTCAGTATTTCAAATGAAGAAATCATACTAAGTGTGCACAGATGTTGAAAAGCCAATGTAAGCCGTGGTGCTTACTTACACTTTCATGCCCTTCAAAAGAACAGTAATTTAAAAGAACTTACACAAGTGATAGGATATCACTAAAAAGTGTTAGACATAGTTAGTGACAAACAGAATCAAAATGTAAAAAGTATAATTCATGATTTGGATTTTAAGTGCCTTTTAACTAGGAAAATCTAGAAGAACCTCCATAAGGTAAAGAGTACTCTTTGAATTTGGGGTTCATACTTTTATCATAGACCAGTATCCACTGTTAAAAATCCAGCTTCGGGATCCTGGGGAAGGGAATGATCCTGAAAACACGTAGGAAATGTAGAGGTAAAAATATAAAGGGCTCGTACACATTGTAAAGAGAAGTGCCCTTTAAATGTATAAAGACAGTATATTGTATAGTATTTTGTTTAAAAACTTGTGTTTTGTAAATACAGTATTTAATTTATATGATATATGTTAAACTTAAGACATTTATTGCCAATGCCCAAGAGCTAAAAAATAAGGTAAAGCTTCTGTTTCTTTTTGTATGTGTACTATCAACTCTGACTTTTTAACATTGAAAAAGAAGTTAACTGAGCAATTAGCTATATGGATGTGTATTTCCTGCTAAAATGAGTTTTGTATGTTATAGATTAAATATGTTACAAAATATTGAGAATATTGCGTTATCTCAGTGGTCAGATTAATTGAATTCTCTTTTCACATTAGTGATGCTTAACTTCTAAAGTTATTATAATAAATTATATACTAAAAGTCTTAACTGGAAAAAGTCTAAATCAGAATATTGATCAATTTGTGACTTTGTTGCCCAGAATATTTATTAGAGTGTATGTAATGCATTTCTATTTGAATTCTGAATGGTCTTTCTTGTTTTAATATTAAGGCATGTATATTCATCATATTTTATAAGATTTCTGTTGAAAATAACAGGGCTTATTTAAGGTTATATTTTAATGTAAATCCTTATGTTTTTTATGAATTGTCAAATATTTCAGTATTATATAGAAAAATAGATTTTCTAAGTTCAGAGTGTGCAAAGAGAGAATATTCATATTCTTATTAAGATAAAGAAATGCTTCCCTGCCCCCCACGTCTCATTCTATTTCCTTTTAATTTTATTTATCAAGACAAAGCAACAATTTGGGGGGATAAAGCAAATGCATGGGTAATGTCTCAGGTCTGATATTCAAATCAAGGCTAAAAATTCCACTGTGAGCCTTAACATTTAACAAAGTCATTACTTACTAAATAAGAGAATCAGAAATAAATAAACAGTAAACAAATATGGTGTTTATTCAAGAGTGGTTTTCCATCCTTTAACATCCATTGAATAGAATAACTCGAAAAATAGACATTCATTTTCATGCCTGTTTTTACAAAGTAAATTGATTTTATGTTCATGAACATAAGTGCCCTTTAACAAAACAAGAAGGAAGATTGTAGTTCCCATTAACAACCAATGTCTTTTATTAACTAGAAAATGTCTATAATTCCCTAACAACTGACCATCAGGCAACCTCTAACTCCCAAGCTGTTTCGGGGGTTCTTCTTATTGTTCTCTTCTTTGGCATCACCATGGTAGTCAACCTTGAGTTTCTCACCTATCTGTCTTACTGGCTGATGGCCTGGACTTGGCCCATGTCCTGCCCACTCTTGGTCCTGTTAGAGGTAAGCACTGTGGTGCTCCTGGGAACCAAACGTTCCTATCCAGTCTAGGCTGCTTTGCCTGCATCAGTTGGGACTGTTTATGTTGCAAGCATGGTAGTGGGAAACCCAACCCAGACTGGGTTTCAACATTAAAGGACATGCATTGACTCAATAATTGAAAACTCCAGATTTGTGACTGGTTCAGGGGAAGCTTGATCCATAAATTCACACCATTTTCCCTGGACTCGGGTCTCTCCATCTCTTTAGGCTAGTTTCTGGCCTTGGCTTCTACTTTCTGAGGCTCCCCAGGGTGCTACCCCCACTGTCTCTACCCTCCACCCCCAGCAGATACAGGCCTCTGCTTTTCTTACCAACATGGCTGCTACATTTCCAGACTTCTCCTTCTCCTACCACTCATTGCTAATGAAGGAGAGAGGTCCTAATCTGAGCAAAGAGATATTTTCTCCTGGTTGGTCACATAGAACAGAGGGAAAACTTTTCTTTCCCAGAAGGCCCAGCAGAAGCGATCTGAGTATCATTGGCTCTGATTGGTTAAATTTGCCCATCTCTGGACCAATCACATGACCACTGGGAGCTGGGGGTGGGTGAAAGGAACACTGAGCCTTCTCGAGGGTATGACAACCCCCAGCTGGAACAGGCGGTGGGGTTCACTTCAATTAGAACTCCGCAGCTGTAGAATAGAGAGAGGGTGGTTTCCCTAAGGAAAGCCAGGGTGTTACGTTACCAGTAAAAGGAACCTGGATGCTGGGCAGCAACACCATTAATGTCCCAGTTCTAGTGAGTCGTGGGAGACAGCTTCCTTCACCACCTGGGGCTCAACCCTGACAAACCAAGCACAAAGCACTGTGGGTTATGTATGGGGTACAAAGTGCTTTGATTTGTTTAAATCCCCTTTATAATGCTACAAAGGAAGGGGAGGGGATGTGCTGTAGTGTGTCGTTTTCAATTTAGGAGTTCAACTTCTTTGTAAATTTGGAACTGTCTAATAATGGAAGCAAGGGTAAGAAGCAATGATTCATCCTGAAATGAAATCAAGAAAAACATAGTAAGTGGCATTAACTGTAACATCTGGAAAAGGAAGCTGACTGAGGCATTTTCCTGATAATAGTGGGTCACACAACATTACCAGAATGTTCATTCTTTTAAATATAAACAACTGCATTATTTTCTTGTTCACAATTTGGATGATAGTTGTTTTGTATTTTAAGGAACTATGATAGTTATATTAAAAAATGACAATAAAATTAAAATTATACACATTAGATGCTATGACCTTATATGTTTTTGCAGCTTTGAAAATATGTCATTCACAGTAAATATTTTAGAAACACGATGTCATTTTCTGAAGTGCTGTTACTACTGATATGACATTTGTTTTTAGTTAGTTTAAAATGTTTTTAGTTAGTTTAGTTAGTTAAAAGCAGAAAAGCTTTGCATCAAAATATTTACTTAAAAGCAATTTGGTGAGTTGCAAATACTTCATGCATCACCTTTGGGATACATGTTCACCAAAGGTGATGCATGAGTATTAAACTATTTGGAGGCAGATAGTTATGTAGAGCACTATGATCCACTTGGCTGAGTTGAGGTAAGAAAAAAATCCAAATTGTATCTCCAGAAGCCACGATTACTCCTTAAGATAAGCCTTGCTTCATGAAAGTTGGCTGAGATGCCTCAATTCTTTTTTTTTTTTTTATTCGAGTTCACTATAAACCAGATGTAATAAGTCATAACAACTCTTGGAGCAGGATGATGACGTCATTATGGCACAGCATGAAAGGGGACATAGTTGTGTACCAGGGAGGGACTCATTTCCTTTGAATGAAAAAACATATTAGCAAACAGACAGCTCTTAGTATACACTAGTGATTGGACTAAGTAAATTATGTGTAAGTGAAATTTTATGTTTGTATAGATGTATATACATTGAATGTTTTACTATGTATTAAATGTTATACATATATACTTTAAAACGTTTATTCCTAACAATAACCTCATAAGGCAGGGACCATCATTCGTGTTACAGACACAGAAACTGAGACGCACTAACAGTAAGTTGAGTAACTAGTCCAAGGACACACAGAATGATCTGTGCCCTTAGCCAATGTATTGTTACTGGGTTTCTCACAGTATCCAAATTGTCAGTAGACTGCATTTACAATATACTAATCCCAGAGCTTGGAAAATTTGAAAATACAAGAAAAATTATAGGATATTTCTTCACGGTTTAGTTATATAAACTTGGTTGAGGAGCAGGCAGTGAAGTGATGGGAGAACTCAGATATAGAATTTATTATGACATATAAGCTCAGAGTGATTTTAGATTGCAATGGGTTAACAGTTGGAACCTACAAGAACTTAACAATCATTCCCAAAGAAAATGACAGAGGTAAAGATTGCGCTAACTTAGTGTGACATAAAACACATCCTTTTAATTGTTGCACATATAGCCAATTGTTACATGAGGTGTTATTTTAAACTGATGGATAAAAATTACCATTTGTTATGGTTTACATCCACATCCAAAGAAAATCCACTAGAGGTGATTTGAACCAGATTAAAACTTTTAAAACAAAATCATACTAGCAAAAGCAGCTTCTCCCAACTGGTCATAAAGAGAGAGTAGAGTACGATATGAGGCCCAAGTCAACACAAACTAATGTTTCATGTGTGACTTTTTAATCTGGAGAATAAGTGAAAGCGTGTGATTGGCGGGTGAAGAAAACCGGACGGACAGAGAGTGGTAGATACAGGGCTGCCTGTTTCCCTCTCAAATGGCTGTTCAGAACCCTCGGGGTGACTCATCTCCACAGAGGCCAAGAAGCCTTCCCTTCCACCTTTTACTAATAACTAAACAACCATGGTCATGGACAACCTCTATCCACTCCTGTTTGGCTAAGAAAGAAGGTCAGTCCTTGTTGTCCCTAATTACTCTTTGGTAAAGAAGAAGTATCCTCAAATTTAACAGCACGTTTAAAACCTCAAACTCTTTATGAACCAAGAAAAGGTGTCAGTCTACAAAATGAAAATCAATAATTACCTACTTCTTCCTAGTCCATGACCCTTTAATCCTTACTTTTCCTTCGTCCTAGCCACTGTCACTGTTTCATCTCAAACTCCCTGCCAAACAGCGAATTCCAGTTCCTCACAGGACTCCATGCAAGGCAGGAAATAACATAGAGTAAAACAGCAAAATAAGAAAGCTGGAGAAGGGCATGGGAGAAACCCTCTCTACCGCCGCGTTCCCTCCTTAACGGGCACAGGATAAACTTACAGGTGAAAGATACATTCCCCTACTTGGTGAGACTTTCTTTCCTTCACCAGCTTGAACATTTTCTTCTTTCTCCAAATGCCCAATTTATCATTTCTTGAGAAACTATACTTTGCAATGTGTTGACTAAATATAGGATTAAAAATCTCAAAATTCCGATTGTGACAACTCCTGTAACTATGCCCATATCCAAAACACCCAGTGCTTTAGAACCATAGAGAACCCACTCTAGAGTTATTTCCAGAATAGATTTTTTTTGTTGGAGACAGAGTTACACTTCATCGCCTTCGGTGAGTGCTGTGGTGTCACAGATCACAGCAACCTCCAACTCCTGGGCTTAGGTGATTCCCTTGCCTCAGCCTTCCGAGTAGCTGGGACTACAGGTGCCTGCCACAACACCTGGCTATCTTTTGTTACAGTTTGGCCGGGCCGAGTTTGAACCCATCACCCTCCATATATGGGGCTGGTGCCCACCCACTGAACCATAGGCGCCACCCCCAGAATACAATTTTACCATGGCCTTGTGATAGTATTAACAGTTCCTCAAGAATTGAATTTCACATCATAGGAATCTAGGGATGAGCTCATTTACTTATCTTAAATCTCAAGTCCCCTCCCTAAAGCAGAACAGAAAGCCATTTAGGATAGGCTTAGAGAAAGCCCAGCGTTTATGCCTCATACCTAAGACCATTCTGGCTGATGGACCTTTCCCTTCCCCTGGCAAACAGCTCTCAGAGACTGCTGCCTTCTCCACTAACTGAACATATTTCTAAGCATAGCCTCAGTATTATATGCTTTTAAATCTCTCCTCTGCTCAGAGCTTGGAGACACAGGCAAGGCATTATCCAAAAGTTAAAGAGATTTCAAAGCTGAAATTTAAAGTAACTTAAAAGATTTCCATGTTAATATAAACACTCGTAAATGATAAAATAACATGAAAAAGTAACATGAAGTTTTATGATAACTTTGAAGGCTCACCCCAGGCTCTTAGCTAAAACCCAGAATTCCCAGGGGTGAGCATGACTCTGCCTTGATAGATATACTTACAGAAAACAGCAATTCTGTTCAACAGATAGATTTCCAAACCGGCCATTTTATTCCACTGGTGATACGGAAAGCTGAGAGTTGACAGGGAAGTCCATGGCCCCTCAACTGAGTCTGTTCTATGCAGCAGGGGTGCCAGCTGTGCCCCACCCTGATCACAGTCCCAGCTGTCCCCCAGCAACAGGAACAGGGTGGACAGTTAGGTCATCAGGAGCAGGGATCAGGGTCTATCCATCAATTGGCTGCTGCTACATGAAGGAGTCAGCCAAGGCTCCCAAGCCTCTTTAGCTGAAGCCACATCCTTTCCCCCAGAGGCCAGGTCAGGAAGTGGAACTATCACAGGATCCCAGCTGCCTGGAGATACAGGAAAGCTTGAGTTCTGTGTCTCGAGTTTGGTATTGACCTGTAATGACTGAAAGGGTGGGTAGGATGTGTACATGAAAGTCAGAGGCTTGAAGGTCAACGAGAACCTCAGGTGGGTGAATAGCTGTATCCTTTCTCCTGTCCTTAACACTCAGGTTACTTACTGGTCCTTTTTGGTTTGGTATTATGAATAAGAAAGCTGGAGAGGCTGACTTGTTAA